TCAAATTAGTTAGTTCCCAATAAAAATGAGCACCCTTCGTTATCGTTCCAATTAAAAAGTATTGATTTTAGTAGACAATATGCATTACATATAATAGTTGTAACTAGATAAAAATGACAATTTGAGATAAAATTAATAGAATCAAATTTAGTCAAATCATTCTACCAACTGAACTCTAAAACAAAGTGAACATTTTGTTACATTACTTTTTGATGCATCTTTTTTCTATAAAATTTCGGTATTATTATCAACAGTCAAAATAGTTGACACAAATTTAATTAAAATGTACACTTTTTTCAAATGACAACAATATTAGCCCAACATCGCTTTCATATGGATAAATGACTTTGAAAACATCGGTTACCAGGGGAAAATTGAAACAAAGTCACTCAATATTTACTAGCACAATTAAAATACATCATATTTGAATTAAATATGGTAGTTCTTACTACAGGACGACAACAACGGTTAGGCATTGACTGACTGAGAGAAAGAAGAGATAATAGTGAGAGATTTGCGAATCTATATGCATTTAACAAATTGGTTATAAGTAGCAAAATATTTCTACACAAACGCACAGACAAAGCTACATCAGTCTCACTACGAAGAACAAGATAGATCATAATTGTATCACTGAAAATTTTTTTAAAAAAAACAATAAACGACATAAGAACTAGGAAAGGAGCTGACATAGGTTCGGATAACCGCCTAGCTGTGGCCAAGAATAAGCTGAAGTTAAAGAAACACTGGTCAATTGGACAAACATCAGTAAAGAGGTTCAATACAGCTTTCCTACGAGATACTAACAAACTCAAACAATTCAAGTTACCTCTCAACAACAGGTTACAAGCCTTACAAGATCCACTCAAAAGAGGAGAAACTAATACTGAGAAAAACTGGAAACGGATTGAAGAAACATTAACTTCAGCGTGTTAGGAGGTTCCGGACCAAATGAAGCATCATAATAAGGAATGGGTCTCCACATAACCTCGGACAAGATTCAAGAAAGGAAGAACAAAAACAGAGCCATCAACAACAGCCGAACAAGAACAGAGAAAGTCAAAGCACAAACTGAATACACAGAAGCAAATAAATAAGAGAAGAGCAATGGAACCGACAAGCAAGATTACATGGAAGAGCTAAATACGATAGCGGAAATAAGTGCATGAGGACAAAATATCAAACAACTATGTGACACGACGAAGAAACTGACAGGGAAATATTGTAAACCAGAGAGACCGGTCAATGACAACAAAGATAAGACAATCACCGAGATTCAAGAACGGAAGAACAGGTGGATGGAACACTTCGGAAAACTCTTGAATAGACCAGCCTAACTAAACCCATCGGATATTGAATCAGCACATACAGATCTTCTCTCCATCAACGATCAAAGAAATCAGTGTGGTCATCAAGTAAATCAAGAGTGGGAAAGCAGCAGGACCTAACAACATACCAACTAAAGCACGAAAGTCAGACACAGAAGTAACTGCAAGCATGCTGTCACTACCAGGAAAGGTTTTCAACCGAGTGTTGCTGAACCGGATGAAAGGTTCAGTAGACCCCAAAATTCGAGATCAAGAGACCGGATTCCATAAGAATCGGTCATTTACAGACAAAATCGCGACACTACGGACCATCATTTAACAATCAGTTGAATAGATCGTCACTATACATCAACTTCATTGACTATGTGGCGTTTGACAACGTGGATATGAGAACCCCATGGAACATTCTTCGACACTATGGTGTACCTGATAAGATTGCCAATATCATACAGAATTCACACGACGAACTACACTGCAAAATCGTGCATGGAAGACAGCTGCATTGCACGTGAGGACCGGAATCAGACAGGGCTGCTTACTCTCCTCCTTTCTCTTTCTTCTGATGGTTGACTGGATCGTGAAGACCTCAACATCTGAAGGAAAGCGCGAAATACAATGGACAGCTTGGATGCAACTACGCGATTCGGACTTCGTAGATGATCTAGCTCTTCTATCCCATTCACACCAACAAATGCAAATGAAGGCAACTAGTGTAGCAGCAGCCTCTGTATCAGTAGGCCTCAGTATATACAAAGGAAGAAGCAAGATCCTTAAATACAACACGGAGAATACCAACCCAATCACACTCGATGGAGAAGCTCTGTAAGATGTGGAATCTTTCACGTACCTGGGAAGCATCACCGGTGAACGAGGAAGATCAGATGCAGACGTAAAGGTGAGGATTGGCAAAGCAAAGCCGCATTCCTGCAATTGAAGAACATATGGAACTCAAAACAACTGTCTGCAAGCCAACATTAAAGTCATAATCTTTAATGTGAACATCAAGACAGTTCTACTATATGGAGGTGAAACTTGGAGAACTTCCACAACCATCATCAAAAGTGTAAAAGTATTTATAAACAGTTGTCTACGTAAGATTCTCAATATTCGTTAGCTGGATACTATTAGCAACAGCTTACCGTGGGAGAGAACAAACCAGGTTCCATCTAAAGTGGAAATCAGGAAAAGAGACTCGAGGTGGATAGGACATATATTGCAGAAATCATCAAACTGCATCACGAGGCAAGCCCTAACTTGGAATCTTGAAGGGAAACGGAAAAGATGATATATATATATATATATATATATATATATATATATATATATATATATACCGCACACCAGTTTCCCAACCGTGTTCGACCTCTATGAAACAAGCGAATTTACATTTTTGGCATGTTTTGTACAGATGAAAATGGAAAATGAATTTGTGGATAGCTTCAAAGTGAACCAAGATTGTATACATTTTTATAATTTGATCTGATTAAACCGGCTAAGAAAGATGATGCAACTTGCATTCTCATTATTAAATTACTTGAATTAATCCAAGTGATAAATCTGAAACACTATGCACATCAACCGATCCTCAGTTTGTTTTATGATACTGTATACAGCGTTTTGTTTATATTTATTATTTTTCCGAAGAATCTTAACCACAATATATGAAATTCAATCATATGGCTCATCATTGAACAAAATATTCAATATATGAAATTTTCTTAGAAACGTTTCGTATGTCATTATCATAAATGTTTATTTAACGATGGTGGCGTTGTCTAAAACCAGGTTGGCGTCCTGAACAATTACATCTATCTAGTTATATCTAAATACTTGCACAAGTGTTTCATACTCAATGCAAAATTAACCCAGGCCAAGTAAATGAAAAAATAATTGATAACTCTAAATAATTATATACAAATTTCATACTCGGAAAAGAAGCAAACGTAATAAATCCTCACAATTCCATATATACATCTATGCTATCTTATGGAATGTAGATACTCATACTATAGTGGATATGTGGTCACACAACTGTAATCCATATAATATACTATTTAACAATGATAATATATCTATCATTCAAGAATTAGAACATGGCCACCGTATTGTTTGAATTGTCATTTAGTTGTAACGTGTTTTGATGTAGGATAGCCAGAACTAAATAAAAGCAGGCTTGAATCTAATAGCTTTGCATTTAATCAACTGGGATTATTATTCAGATAATTATGCATTAACGTCTTTAGTTTGATTTATATCTAAAGCAAGTTTGACTTGCAAGATTTCATAGATGTATCACTTACGTATCACAAGGGATAATACATTTCACCACTCTTACGTACATAAAGCTGACAACCTATGGTGATTAAATACGTTTCACTGAGATGAATTATTCAAGATTAAATTGTGATCCAACTAATATTTGTTGGAATTAGTAACACATAATGGAGCAAACGTAAAACACATGATGTTGAAATCAATGATTTTAGTAGTAAAGTTACTGAGTATCGGAGAAATGTATCTATTAATCATTTTAAAAATGTAATTAATGGTATTGCATTTCTTGTCTTCATCAAACAATCTTTTATTACCAGTTCTACTAAAATAAAATATTCCTTTGATAAACTATGAATATCCAGCCCGTTTACTTACGTATATGCGACAATAAATGAGTGTGACATAACAGTACCCTAGATACGCAAGCATACTTGTGAACGGTACAATAAAATTCTCGATAGTCAAACGCATCCATGACAAGAAATTGATTGGCATTAACAAACTATGAACATATTAATGTATTGATTTCCATGTACGTAGTTAACATTTTAGGTAACTTTTACTGTATATGCTACAAGTAAAACAATAGAAGATTGGATGTAACACACAGTGATAAGTCGGTTGATTGGGAGTTATGAATTTTCATTGATTGAGTTGATTAAGATATTTGTAAAGGATGCTCAACAACAAAAAATCCTCCGCACTCAAGGCTGGTTATATATACGAGCAAAATGGAGGAAAGGTAATTCTATGTAATCAAGATATGCCATCAGTCGATAAAGTTACGAACCGGTAATTTGGACTTTCTAGACAGATGTTGACTAGGTGGTTAATGTCGGCTTTATAATAATAACCAGTCGTTGGAGAGATTACGTAACATGGATGAAAATCGGTTTCATCGGTGCAAATGTACTTACATGCCGATTATTTACATGATTGAAATAAATCACGTTTTTTATGTTGTACTGAAATAGATTAAAGCAACTAAGTGCTCCAAAGTTACTAGTTTTTTTTCAATGGTTATCGCCTGGTAATATGTTAAAATAGAACATTTTTGTTAATACAGTCTGGTTCAATAATTATTGTATAATCTATCAATCAAGCTTATGTTTTATTGTACACTCATGATAGGGATGAAATTGAAAATAAATATCACTTTCAAATGTCTTCGGCTATGAGTTTATTTGTGAATTATGTATAACAAATTGTTTTGCATCTACTCTCGTACAAATACTCCCATTACTAACATTAGTTTCTTTGATTACTGTTGCCAAAAATGGTAAATTACGTGTTGTTTACTCGCCCTCGCAACAAATGAACGTTATTTCTACGACAATAACATAAAACTTGACCTAATCAAACTAATCTAACACTGAATTCTTTTGACAGAAGATATAGTGAAAAGTATTCGTTTATTTCACATACCACACATTTACAAAAGAAGGTAAATAATACACAGATTATTGTATACAAAGAATGTAAACCTCTACAGTTATTTCTTTCCGAAATAAAAACGTTAATTAGATAATAAAAATTATGATAGAAATTACTAAGATAGTTCAATCCATATTTACTCATGAATACTCGTCCATATACCCGATTTGTTTAAATGAATCCAATAAACATTGAAAGTTCCATGCATTCATGAACACCTATATGAGCAAAATGAAAAAAGCACAAAATGTTTGCTGACAGCAACTAAGATAGTGATTTAGCAAAGAAAAATGATAGAAGCTTAACATAAAACCACTTGTCAACTATATCTAGCGGGTCGATTGGTTATGGTTTGAAAACTTGAATTACAAGTTTCAAAACTAAGGAATGCAATATTCACACAATTTGGTGACATGGTAATGGAAGTGAAATACGGTGTATATAAAGATATGAAAATGAATCAATGAAACAGGAACATTGTCATCATTTAGAATGATTCTATCCTATGTTATGCATTAGGATTTTGATACAAGAAATATCCGCCAAGATATTTTAAAGGTTGTTACAGATAACTGTTGAGGGGCAGAAAAATGCTTTTAATACACCAACGAACTCGCGCTGATAATAATACATCAATGTGATCAGTTAGTTCACTCAAAGGATTTCCAATCCCAGTGTTTTTGAAACTCGAAATGCGCTGGTAACTATAGCTTTTGACTTTTAATGATGAGGTTGATTTCGCTAATCAAGCGTCAATCGTATTTTCACTATCTGATTTATTCTAGGTTTTTAAACATATTAGACTGTATGTACCAAAAGAGAAAGCAACGAAATACAATCAATTGATCGTATTCTTCAAATATTCTCATTCTTACTTTGTGCGAAACTCCGCCTGTAGCTCTTCCAGAGTTACTGCCGGTCCCAAGCCCGGGTAAAGGAGGAGGGTTGGGCATGGGGTTAGCGTCCCCATCCCGTAGAAACCAAACTCGCTAAAAAAAACGCTAACCAGAAAAAATAACTCAAACCATTTAAACTCTGCCCTGGGAGTTAGAGGTAATATGACGCTTCATGGTGAAAGCCGAGTTCCTTCGGAAGCCACGAGGCCGATGCCCCTTCTAACAACAAGAGCAATAATTTTTATAGGTACATGGAACGTCCGGACAATGTGGGAGACCGGGAAGACCAGTCAAACAGCAACGGAAATGAGGAGATACAACTTGGCAGTACTCGGAATCAGCGAAACCCATTGGACCCAAGCTGGACAACAAAGTCTAAATACGGGAGAGATGCTGCTATACTCCGGCCACGAAGAGGAAAATGCTCCACACACTCAGGGAATTGCTCTAATGCTATCCAAAGTAGCACGAAATGCACTTGTAGGATGGGAATCTCACGGATCCAGAATCATCAAAGCATCATTCAAAACAAAGAAGGAGGGGATCACAATGAACATTATCCAATGTTATGCACCCACCAATGATAGCAACGACGACGTTAAGGATCAATTCTATGAGAGGCTGCGATCAATCATAGAGAAGTGCCCAAGAAAGGACCTCACCATTCTGATGGGAGATCTAAACGCCAAAGTCGGAATAGACAACACCGGATATGAAGACATCATGGGACTACATGGACTGGGAGAGAGAAACGAAAACGGGGAAAGATTTGCAAATCTGTGTGCATTCAATAAATTGGTCATAGGCGGTACAACATTTCCACACAAACGTATACACAAAGCTACATGGATCTCACCGGACCACACCACAGAGAACCAGATAGATCACATTTGCATCAATAAAAAGTTCCGAAGGACAATGGAAGATGTGAAAACCAGGAGAGGAGCGGACATAGCTTCAGATCATCACCTAGTTGTGGCCAAATTGAAACTGAAGCTAAAGAAGAACTGGACAACTGGACAAACAGCATCACAAAGGTTCAATACAGCCTTCCTTCGAGATACTGACAAACTCAATGAATTCAAGGTAGCTCTCAACAACAGGTTCCAAGCCTTACAGGATCTACTGAAGGAAGAAAAAACTACTATGGAGGATAACTGGAAAGGTATCAAAGAAACATTAACTTCAACGTGTCAAGAGGTTCTGGGCCCCAAGAAGCGTCATCACAAGGAATGGATCTCTACAGAAACCCTGGACAGGATCAAAGAAAGAAAGAACAAGAAGACAGCAATTAACAACAGTCGAACAAGAGCAGAGAAAGTCCAAGCACAAGCAGAGTACATAGAAGCAAACAAGAAAGTGAAGAAGAGCATTAGAGCTGATAAGCAAAAATACGTGGAAGAACTAGCAACGACGGCGGAAAAAGCTGCAAGAGAAGGAAATATGAGACAGCTTTACGATACGACGAAGAAGCTTGCAGGGAAATACAGTAAACCAGAGAGACCAGTCAAAGACAAAGAAGGAAGACCAATTACTGAGATTCAACAACAGCGCAACAGATGGGCAGAGTACTTCGAGGAACTCCTGAACAGGCCGGCTCCAATGAATCCACCGGACATCGAAGCAGCACACACAGATCTTTCTATAAATGTCAATCCACCAACGACAGAAGAAATCAGAATGGCCGTCAGACAAATCAAGAGCGGGAAAGCAGCAGGACCTGACAATATACCAGCTGAAGCCTTGAAGTCAGACATCGAAGTAACTACAAGCATGCTTCATCTTCTATTCAAGAAGATTTGGGAGGAGGAAGAAGTGCCGATGGATTGGAAAGAAGGACACCTCATCAAGATTCCAAAGAAAGGAGATCTGAGCAAGTGTGAAAACTACAGAGGCATTACACTACTGTCAATACCGGGTAAAGTCTTCAACAGAGTGTTACTGAACAGGATGAAAGACGCAGTAGACGCTCAACTTCGAGATCAACAAGCTGGATTCCGTAAGGACCGGTCGTGCACAGACCAGATTGCGACACTACGGATCATCGTCGAACAATCAATTGAGTGGAACTCGTCACTCTACATCAACTTCATTGATTATGAGAAGGCATTTGACAGTGTAGATAGGAGGACGTTATGGAAACTTCTTCGACACTACGGAGTTCCTGAGAAGATTGTCAACATTATCCGGAACTCATACGATGGACTACAGTGCAAAGTAGTGCATGGAGGACAGCTGACAGACGCATTCCAAGTAAGGACCGGAGTAAGACAAGGCTGTCTACTCTCTTTCTTCCCCTTTCTTCTGGCGATCGACTGGATTATGAAAACCTCGACATCTGAGGGAAACCACGGCATACAATGGACAGCTCAGAACCAATTAGACGATTTAGACTTCGCAGATCACCTAGCCCTTCTATCACATACACACGAACAAATGCAGACAAGGACAGCCAACATAGCAGCAGTCTCTGCATCAGTAGGCCTCAAAATAAACAAAGGGAAAACCAAGGTCCTCAAACACAACACGGAGAACAGCAGTCTAATCACTCTTGATGGTGAAACTCTGGAAGATGTGGAATCCTTTACATAACTGAGAAGCATCGTCGATAAACAAGGAGGTTCAGATGCAGACGTCAAGGCGAGGATTGGCAAAGCTAGAGCGGCATTCCTTCAACTGAAGAACATATGGAACTCAAAACAACTTTCAACCAATATCAAAGTCAGAATCTTCAATACGAACGTCAAGGCAGTTCTACTGTACGGAGCTGAAACGTGAAGAACTAAAACAACCACCATCAAGAAGGTACAGGTATTTATTAATAGCTGTCTACGCATGATACTCAACATCCATTGGCCGGATACCATCAGCAACAGCCTTTTGTGGGAGAGAACCAACCAGCTTCCAGCTGAAGAGGAAATTAGGAAAAAACGATGGAAATGGATAGGACATACATTGAGGAAATCATCAAACTGCATTACGAGACAAGCGCTAACTTGGAATCCTGAAGGGAAGAGGAAAAGAGGAAGGCCAAAGAACACATTACGTCGGGAAATAGAAGCAGATATGAAAAAGATGAATAAGAACTGGAAAGAGCTTGAAAGGATTGCCCGGGACAGGGTTGGATGGAGAATGCTGGTGAGCGGCCCATGCTCCTTCACGAGGAGTAACAGGCGTAAGTAAGTAAGTAAGTAAGTTACTTTGTGCGAAAACGTAGAAATGGTTGACCAAGTCAGTTCCGTCAACTTTTCCAATAATAGATATAATAATTGGCGACACAAGGAATTCAAAGTGACTAATTTCTTTGAACAAGTAAAAGGATTATTGGAGTATGAAAATATTATTTGTTTGGGTTTAGCTGATAATCATTAATGTCCCTACACAAAAGATCTTTATATCTTCGCTATTATTTGCATCTAATGAGTTCCGGGTATTTCCTCATATAGGCTTAATCAGAAGTTTAATTCATAAAATCTAATTAGGCGGTCTGACTGGTGTCAAGTTTGATTCATGAATTGAATAATATGAAAATGTGATCCATGATAATATTGGAAAGGTAGATGATGCCTTGAAAGCACAGATACTTTTGAGAAACCTCGTTACTGAAGAGCATGAATGATGCAATGAGTTTGAAATTTAAAAAAACCGTGTAGATCTCAGTTTCAACGACATGAATAATCACGGAAAAATCTCTTTAAATTACAATCGCTGAGATTATTTCGAATATAATTTTCACATATAATGACTACTTTATACTCGGCGCTTAATTTTTGTCAAACTATTCGTTTTAATATTGACGAATATTCATATAATAAATCTATGTTGGACTGAACAGTTGCTGTAAATACATAATGCAGACTAAAAATCAAATCACACGATTATCACAAATTTTTTAGTAATAACTTCAACAACTGTTGATTTTTAAGTGATATGCCATTGTTGTTAATCATGTAGGTCAGTGATACAGTAAAATCTATTGATTTCAATCGGAAAAACAGAGGAATCTTCTTCTTGTTGTTCAATATGATTGCAGTTCAGTGTGATATATCATTCTTGTTAAAAGTTCAAACTAATGGGTTGTTTCTAGATAGAAAATATGGTCCATAGCTAAAGTGTTCTTAGTACCAGTATTATAGTAATACTGACAAGAAATTTTTATAGTAACTAATGATTACTAAAATCATCACCGGTGCTTTAATTGTCTACTTGTTCAATAGGATGGGAAAATATTAGACTATAGGTCTTTTTTAACTTAATTAACAGAATTAGATCAACGATGTAAGATCATCCAGTCATACAACAATATAATGTGTCTAATTAGAGGAAGGAAAATGAACCACTGAATGCTAGTTCAGTAATTCGAACCATCCGAAAAGGACTTGCTCTAAGCAAATAATATGGAACTTTTTTGTATATTGTATCCATTGGGTAGAAGTAATGTTAATTCAAAGAAATTACAGTGTTTATGTAGTCTGTACATCTACCCTTCAGTCATCAATTGGCATTTGCGGGGTGTTCTGTGATCCAGTTGATTCTATATTCTCTTCTCTTCTGGTCTCCAAGCTTTTGTCTTAACCATGCTTTTTGATGTACTGAAACTCTTCTCTCCGTCCGTCGACTATAACAACTTCCACACCATATTCTGCCACGTATTATTTACAAGCAATAATGTTAGTAGTATTCACTAAACGAGGAACAATGTATTCTCATTATAAACCTCAACCGATAGTGGATAAAAATCATTATTTGAATTCAAAAAGACGAATCGCCTAAAAATAAAAATGAAATCAAAAACACTATTATTATGATTACCATATAAGAATATGATTCGCAATCTCTATTGATTTTATCACTTTTCTTAAGTTTCGTTATAATTCGTCTTGAAATCCAATCGCCCATTAAAGAAACTGAAGCAAGCTGTAAAATTTGGGAGAAGAAAAGTAAAAAAGACGGTCGTGTTTTTGGGAATAAGATTATTAGTCACATAAAAAAACAAGGAAATTAAACGATTATAAGTAATAAGTATTAACTAAGTTGATAGACACCTCAACGATAGACGCCCTAGTAAAAAAAATCCAAATAATACAAACATATGCACCACTTTTTACAATAATTACCAGCAAAAGAGATACGCATATTAAGACAAAAGAACTAAACATTAATATATGTGATTTTGTATGATACTTTATCCGACTAAAATACCATAGACTTTCCATTGATAATAACCATAAAATAAGAAACTATACGATCTAATGTTTGCTCAATGAAAGTAATTGGTATTTTAATGAGATAGTATCCTAATCTTTTCAATGTTAACCATTTACCTTATTCTTACAGACAATTTAAAATAATAATAATAATAATAATAGTAATAATAATTTAATTCAACCAAAACTATCAGATTATAAAGTGAACAACCCTTTTAATCATGTTGAATGAAGATATAAGAATCATTAAAAGAATTATGAATATTTCAATAATTGATTTATATCATATCATCTACTACTAACAAGTTTAAAGTAATAAAAATAATTTTTAGTTATACAATTATTTTTAAGAAGAAAAAAAGTTATTTCGACAGGAAAGAGAAAAATAAATTAAAAAATAATAGTAATATTACGATATTATAACGCATAATCCGTGATGTATGACAGAGAAACAAGAAAAAGAAAGATAAATTTCAATTCATAGAAAAAGTAAGGAATGTAGTCTTTTTCAGATTTATGTATTTATGAAAGAAAGATATTGTAGAGTGATAAATTTTAAGTTTAAGAGGTGATAAAAGGATAACCAATATTTCGTGGAACAAACTAACAGTTGATAGCAATTTCAACAATTTTAATTGTACCGGATGGTTCAGTTATGAACTTTTTATTGTTTGTTTTTTTCAGATGAATTGATTAGTACAGACTTCAAGAAGAAGTGAGCCAGCAGAGTTTCTCAATTACAATAAACTAAGATTTTCTTTTGTTAACCTAGAATATGGTTGGTTGCTATAAATATCTACGTAGCATCCTCCACCTCATAACCGATAAGTCACTATATATATATATATATATATATATATATATAGTGTATGATGTCTGCGAAAGTATTACACAATCAAATAAATCTACATATATGTCCGAATGTTCAATATTCATGAAGATGCCTATCAGTGATGTTATGTCGAAAAGTTTTAATCGACAAAATAATGAATATTCAAGTTATACCATAATACAACTATAAAATAAACAATGTAAAGAACTGAAAATCTAATAATGAATAGTTTGGTTAGAATAATGTTTACAAAGAAGGAAAGAGATATAGCCTGGAGCAAAAAGTTGTCTAAAAAAGCACTTCGAAAAACAAAACGCAACATGTTCACAATACCATTTCGTATTAAGAATATTGTCAATCTACTCAGGTGTTTAAAATTGAAAAGGAAGATTTACTGAAAGATGTAACCTTCACTACTAACTAACCATTCAGAATAACTGGGTGTTGACAAAAAACGGAGATGTCATAATGATAATAATAATAATGCTGATGTAGTCAGCTTGGTATGAGGATTGTTGACAGATATTAGCAATACATAATGACAATACACTAAAAAAATAAAAAGAATCACGCCTGGTTCAATAAATATCTGTACATCTATACATCTGATATATTTAGTAAAACTACATATTAATATATTGACTGATAAAATATCAACACAACTTCAGTTAAAATGAAGAGATAACGTTAATGAATGCAAGAACTATACGTGATTTTCTCTTCACATAGTATTTTGTAAAATGAAATTAGCACAGATGGATATTTGTATGGTGAAATTAGGAAAATAGATTAAATCAACTGTAAAATAAATTATCCCCAAATATTTTCCCGAAAAATATTCGATTTATTTGTAATCAGTCTTTTTCTTTACCTATTTTAATGTCATGAGATCGATCAGATGAATAAGTCAAGTTACATATCATAGTAAATCATGAGATACTAATCGATTCTATCATTAGTTAACGGTAGATAACAATAAAAACCTATTTAGTTTTGTACTCTACAGACATACTACTTATAAGTAACTTATGCATTTCTTACTAAATTGTTTAAAACTTATGGATTCTCTTAAAAATTAAACGATAATATTTAAGAAATTTCCATTACTGTTGTTGTAATCCAATACATAATACAAACCAGATGAATCCAATAACATCTACTGGAGTGACAAATTAACATTATGTGAAATGGATACATTTACACTAACAACCCTATATCATCTAATATTAACCAATTAAAACTATCATCGACTCATTTATAAAGAAGACTGAAAGATGGAGTCCCATAAACAGACTTATATATAATATGATGTTGAAAGGCGCACGTAATACGGTAATTTATCATCCTAAACTGAGATCAGTAAAAAACAAAACCGTAAATCACATAAAACAGTTTTCATATTAATTAAAGCATTTTTAATCGGAATTTACGGAGACAATATTTCCACTTGAAATTATACACGCTCAAAACAAGAGAAGACTTACAGGAATGGAAATTTCGATATCACTTGCTGTCTTCATGTCGGTATACAAAACAGCACGTAACATTTCACATGGATATAAATTGGGAGCCTCAGTATAAGTCAATCTGGAAATGTTCGAAAATGAAGGTTGTTAGAAGTATTTTGGTCCATAGAATTGATAACATTATGTAATATTAAGAACAATCCCATTTTACGACACAATTTGTCACCTTCATCCCAAAGCGTAGTATATATATATATATATATATATATATATATATATATATATATATATATATATATATATATATATACGCAGAAACAAATTGTCATACGGTATTAGCATGACCAGGTGAAAATGACAGAAAGAGGCACAAAATAGACCAGATTGATGCTGTAGTAACAATGATGAGAAAGACTGAATGTTGTGGTTCGAAAAGACAGAATAGAAAGGTATATCTAGGAGAATATCGAAACTTATGATCGAATAGAAAATATATCTGTGTGATTGTGAATAATTCTGAGCATTATCAATAAAAGTTTACGACCACACTGTTGTACAGCACACACCATGTACGTGTATTAAACATGAGGTCCATCCCTTTGACTGAAAATTAATGATCCATGGGGTTAATAATGGACTTAATAACAATAAGGCGTCATTGCGTTAACAAAAAAGAGTTTGGATGACTTAAAACACAATTCGATTGGCCCAAACTGGGTGCTGCCTGATACCAATTAATAAGTATTTTTATTTGAGATTTGACGCAGTATATAGCCCGGTTGAAGTATAGACAAATTATAACATGTATTCAAATCACGATATGGGTGTTTAAAATATTAGAGAATAAAACAAACTCGATTAGTTAGTGGGTTTATGTAATAGAAGACGATTGAACTTTAAATCGATCCTATGACTAAATATTTCAAGATTACATCGAACATTTAGCTGTTTTATCTGATCACTTATGCACACATAATATGGAAAATATTCCAGAACAATAAACAGCAATTTTAAATGATCAATTTTAGTTATTCTGTGCAAAGATTGACAGTTTTCAACACAATTAAACCTTTGATCAAAAGAAGAGTATAAACAATTTTTATAGGTTGTATTTAAATGAAATTTACTCCATTGTTTTTGCTTGTTCTCTAGACATTGATTTGTGAGGTGTATATATATATATATATATATATATATATATATATAATGTATCACATCTGATATAAAATTGTCTGACAGGTTAATGTCTACTCGTCAAAAATTAAAATGTCAGTTATACTTAATAGCATGGAGTAGGAATAGTCTACCGACTCGCTTGTTATTATTATCACTATTATTATCAACGTAATGATCTTAAACTAATCAAATGATTGACAAATTAGTAGACACTCATAATGTTCTAGGCTATACAATATACATATGTTCATATTTATTTAAAGATATGAATGATATATATCATGACTAACACTGCCATAATAATAATAATAATCTTACTAATACCATGAAAGCAGCATGAGTAGACTTTGATGTACATAAACGTGAGTGAATATTATGTTGAATTGACTACTTATTATTACATCAGATTCGGAAGTTAATTTAATAAGAAAGCAATAAATTAACAAATACAAATAATAAATGACAGAATGAAGGGAAATGTTTTTAGCGAACTGTGAGAAATTATTCATTGTAATTATATTCTCTTTTTTTCATGTGAAAAAAATAGTTGCGAATAAGTTTCCAAAGGTTATTTAAATAACTTTCGGGAGAAAAAAGTATGGACAAGTGATTGAATACTTATAACAAATACATTAATAGGTAGTATACATATATAATCTGAACTTATGAAGGCGGAATCCGTCATAACTGTCATGAATTTCTTCAAATAGCACAAAACAGTATACTTATAAATAATGAGTAGTATTTTCTTTGTAATTCATGAATTTGAATCTAAATGGTATCATAACTAAATTATAATATCTATGTGAACTAAACAACCTTTTTCAAACGCCAAACCGAATGACAATGCATCTTTTCATTAATCATTTGCGATGAGATTACTTGTCTAAAATTTATATTGGGAAGTTGTGAACAAGTCTGACGTGAACTATATCCTAACCGATGACAGTGTGTGATAATCAAATTAGAATAACATAAAAAGGATGAATTCGGAAAATGGTATTCATTAAATTGTATATTTCTTAGTTTGACATATAAATATTTATTTTATTCACAATGAAAAGAATGAAGAAGTAATAATCAGCCAATTAACACTATAGGGTATATCAAAATGTGTATCGAATCACATTCCCATATGATTCATACAATCTCATAATATTTATTCACATAATTACAAAATTTTTCAATGTTTACAAACCATACACACATATTCAAAAAGAAAGAAAAATACAGTCAATCAAAACGTTACTTGTATGACCAGCCTGGTTGATAATGTTGCCAAAATCTGAATAACTCCTCAACTAAAACGTGAAAACCAGCTTCACATTGATTCCAGTCTTTCGAAAGCTCAAGGAGAGATACCTGCAAAACGAAGATTTTTAAAAAAACACTAAACATTACACTTAAGAAACTATATATTTGTGCTGATTTATGCGTAAAGAAACAGAACCGGAAAATATTGTGCCTAGGTATGTGATTAGTAACCAAACGCATTCGCTGCACTGGAAGAATTTTTACAAGATTGATTCCTGTGACCATTAAAACAGGAGGATCGTGAATAATCATATTTAAAGTATATGTTTGTCCAGATATCAATTTGTAGAGGTATACTAAAAATATTTTTTAATCATCTACGACCGCGCTTTCAGGAATAAAACTCAAGACCTTCGATTCCACGCGCGAACCTTAACCTTTAAACCGTTGAGCCAGCATCCAACAGTAATGTCTAAATTCAATCAATTCACGATATTACGCGATGTGTTCAATATAAAGTTAATCTATGAACCGTGTATTTATATTCGATAGTTTTGATGCTTGATTACTTCCCTTGAAAAAGTTTGGATCAGACTTCCAAGCGGAACGTTGGGTTTATTTAAAGTTTAAACGTTAAGATTTTCACAGATATAATCGCCTCCTAAATCTCTTAATGATCTTCCGTTTAGTGAAATGAAAACCATTAACTTTTCATAAAATATTCTACACTCTTAATGCGTACATTAACACTAAACATCAGAAAAACTGGTATTACATTAACCACGTAATAAAAACATACTGTCAAAAAAATATAACACATTTCACTAAAATAACACTAGTTAAACGATCACTAAAAACTTAAGTGTACCCGATATTACACTTGTTTTAATCTTGAAAACTTTTAACACAGACCTATCTAAATTAGTTATAGATGAGGTAGGAGGCTGACACGAATGCATGGCAAATTACTGGATTATAAATAAATCATTAATGACTTCTTTTATTAACAAAGTGGAATTTAGGTTAAAATGAAGTATTTCGGCAAAAGATATAACGTTATGTGATACGTATACTTCTCACAATTGATTATTAATCAATCAAATAATTCCTTAGAAGGTTTGACTACTGGTGATGACAAACTACGAAATTAGTAACAGACGCCTACTCACTAACCTGTTTGGATTGATGAAAAGGGGATTTGAAACTGGGTTGAATAGTTTGATCACCAGATAAGTTATGAGTAACGTCTGTTTAAAAAGAAATTAATATCCATATACATAATCAACAGAATAATTTTTTCGAACAATACATTTAAATTATCAACAATGCAACAAGGGACTAAAAAGAATGGATGAAGAGGATTACATCAGGAAAGCTGAGGACCCAGTCAATTACCTATACACCAACTAAAACTATAAATATTTTCAACTATTTATGTCTTTGGTATTCTTGATGCCGGCAATAATTTATTACCCTAGTATTTTATAGAAATCATGGCAATACTGCTTATTTAACAACTGCGCAACTCTACTTTTTATCAAGACACTTTAGTGGTGAAAGTAACCTTAAAGTACTTTAAGTACAAATAAAACTTTCGTAAAACCCACCCAGCAATCTGTATGTGTAGACTGGTTAAATGCTGTAGTTCATTTGAACATTCACCGTACCATTTATTCATTACATTAACGATTGACTAAGATTTATTCTAAAGTTATCTGTTCTGAAATCCATTTATCATGTCAGTGATTGATCACTATATCGTAATATACGAACACATAAAATCACTAAATAAGTAGTGAAATGATAGAATAAGTCATAACAAATACTGAAATTTTAACGTTTATGCTTTTCCAGAACGAACAAGTCAACTTCGATCAAATAAAATATGAAATTCAATCTTAACATTACTAGTGCTTCATAAACATATCGAATCTTTGAAAATTGGAATGGTAAAGCTACCTTCTGTATTTTCAAAAATTACCTTACATACATGCTGATAGTGAATTAACCGAAAGTTAGATCTAAAGACACATGGTAAAATTTTGTGATCTAAATCATGGTAAAAAACAGTGAATTAATAATAATACATGACTATAATTTTGAAAGTTATTGGGCACCAATATTCAGTATTTGAAAAAATAAAATATTTAAAGATACTGTTTTACACATAACTGAGAAGCCTCTAGGATAAAATTCAAACTCATCTCGTTGACATAGTTCCAAACCCGGGTCTAAGAACTGGAAATATCCTAAAACAGTAAAGAAATCTATAATTATCCGGTTTGGATAAATCACTTAATCTATCGTTAATTTAGAATTGTCTAGGGCGTTTCTGTTGGACGCCGATTGAATGACGTATCGTCAGCCTTCCGCAACCTCTGGAAACCTTTCCGAAGAATTCTCGAGGGCTCCTAACATAAATCGGTTATGACTTGACGAGTAATCCACAGTTTAGGTACTGTCAAAACAAATGAACATAATAGTGATTAACAGATGAAATCCAATGATATGATGTGTCCAAACGATAACAACTCATAATACTACACCATTATTAACGCAAACTTCTGAATGAACTGAAACCGCAGGTAAAGCCAATACTCAGATGGACAGGTCTTTTTTCTGACAAAATAACATCATTATTTATAAACTAGGAATATAAAATAAACGTGAGACATCATAAACGATTATTGAATATGAATATTGATATTAAGACCTGACTGTTAGACTGAATTCAACAAAATTTGCAAAGAAGTCAAGTTAGACAACATATTCTAAAGAATAAGAAAAAAACTAATGAAATAATCAGTAAACCATTCATTAAATAATGAATGCAATCGAGAGAAAAAATCAGTCATATTACGTTATGTATGATAAAAGAAAAAGAAAGCCAACAGCAACAAACAACAATGACTTTTAAAAATATACGTATATACATATTTACCATTTCCATTGTCATTGATATAAACAGATCCTTTAGAAACGAGGCGTAAATATGAATTAGTGAACAGATTAGCTCTATGAAGCATAAGATAAGCTAAAGTGATTTTTTGGCAAAAAAAAAACAGAATTAATTGATAAAGGTGACTAATGCTAAATAATATAAATAACTTTGTAAAAATATACAATTCAAACAAATTAAGATGAATTAAGAAATGTGAGTAGAAGCAAATTTAGACTATGGCAAATAGTGGCAATCAATAAACATTCATGAAACTGAGAAAATGTTGAATTCTAACAGAGAACAAAACATAAAACAATAATCAGTCAAACTCTGCATTAAAATTTCGACTATCTGAAACATGAACATATTAATTAAACGTTTATGGATCTAGGAACGATGGAAATATCCCGGGCAATAGACTAGGCAAGAAATGAATAACCTATCTATTTCATCGATTGCTTAGGCTATATACGTTTCAAATGTTCATTGAAAAACGTTCCACATTTCTTTGAAACAAAACCACCAATGGAATCCAGGATGTATGTTTTGCCCTGTCTGAGACTCTTCAACCGGATGTACCTGCGCCGCAGAGATGTCCACTACGGGACTCGAATCCAGTACAGTTCGCTCAAACCCCGTCGCGTTTTTCCACTTAGCTAATGATTCCAGATAGCCATTTACTTGCGCAACGGTTATGAGTTTTTATTTGAATCATTTCAAACTGAATTAAAACCAACAATGGTTTGTCCCTGACTAATTTTAAGTTTGTCTATTGATGTGATTATGTTTATGCTAAAAACGTACTTTTCTCTTTAAATTAATTCACACTAAACTGAATCAGAACTATCAGACACGAGCTTTTTCTTCCTATATCACATCTACAACCATCAGACAGATTCAAAAGTAGATAAGTGAATATCTAGATTAATCCTTAATAAAGTAATAAGTTCATGGAAATCACAGAAAAAAACATATACACAAATATACATATCACAGAATGATATCAATCACAGAACATCAGAACCATGTCAATTAGAACTTCATTAAAATCATGAACCGATCTAAGTTAGACCATCATTGAAAAGCTAGAAGCCTTAGTATAGTATAGTAGCCGTAGTATAGAACTCCTCAGCAGTGCACATCCACAATCCCAAACGCAGGAGTCGGATCCAGGACTCTACCTCTAGACCACTGAGCTGGCATCCACGACACTGCACGACCATCTTCTATTGTCTTCGATGGGTAACTGCCTTGAACCCCACACTTCTCACGGTCTCTCACTAGAACTCTGAACATTTCACCTTGAAGCTAGCCACGAAAGAGAACATGATAGTTTAATAATTTAATTGAAATCTAATAATCTACACAACCAAATAATGAAAATTCAATGAGAATTAATAAACTAGTTAGAGAATACCGATCTGCAAACATAAATATATTAAAAATTTTAAATAGAAAAGCAATTATTAACAGTTGTATCGATGACAAAAATATACACACCAACAAACATTCATATTGCAAGAATCCTCACCCGAAAAAGCTGCAAGACTAGCTGAACCGACTAAGTAATCAGTTGTATGAGGATTGATGAGCCATTTACTAATTCCAGTATTCGGATCTTCCACTAACAACATATCATTTTTCGACGGTCTTAATCGAATTGCCTGATCACAAAGAAATCACAGCAACCAGTGGAGTGATAAGAGGAAAAGAAGTGAATGATATATACGTATTTGGTAGTACAGTAATGCAACGTGTTAAATACAAAAGATACACTGAATATATGTTCGACAATGTATTAATTGTATGGAGATTTTCATTTAAGGAATTCAGGAGTAAATATTTTAATAGTTAGGGAGACTTTACAAGCTCAAGAATTCATTACAGATAGTTTCTACATATCAATTGAAAAGCTCCTCGAAGGTGTATTCCATGATCCCCTTTAAATATATGCTTGGTTAGAAAGCAGCATGAGTAAATACATCAAGTGATATTCTGAGGTTTCTATTGAGCCGAAAGTAAAGATAAAAGGAGCATTCGGAAAATGGGTAAAGAACAAATAATTTTCAATTCCGAACCACAAGTTGGCGAATTGAACTGTCATGTCACTGTTCAGAAAGGAAGCCAACAAAGTTATATCATATAAGAACTCATTGTCTGGATATTTCAATGAATAACAACTATGAATATTTATAAATACATTAAGCTTACAGATTTTACACTTGGCCATGAAGTGGCCTCTAGCGCAGGTCCACGAATAATGTCTGATAGACAAACAGGATAATTGCATGATTGACCTTCGTTCATTCGACTGAGCCAATAGTCATTTACTTTATTCATGTGAGTGTATTCCAATTCCGCTAAACGACCTGTATAATACGTTCCAATAACCCTAAACAGGTTGAAAAAGGAGTATTATGTATAAGCATATACACAAAGAAGCTATAGGATGTGTAAGATAAATGATTATTACAAAAAGGTTTATCATAAACAATCAAAAACGCGTTCTGAGATAAAGTGTAGAACCACTCTAAATCACAAATAATAATTATTACAGGAAATGATTGAAAATTACCAGCAACATTTCCATTTATTCAGCTTCTTTGTTTGTTATACTTCGGATATGAATGCAAAGAAGTGTCGAATACCTGATTTTAAAGAGATAGGGTTTTTGTTGGATATTTTTGTATTGTCTTCAGTGAGCTGATATCTCACAACAGACCTGGTTGAACTCCACTGGTCACGGCTTCTCACTAGAACTCCAGGAATATCTCTTGAAGTCAGTCACTAGTGAGCAGATGATTATTACTAGAATGGGTTTTGTGGAGAATTGGTAATTTCAATAGTTGAAATCATGAATCAATTGAAGCTAGACCACCATGGGAAACCTGGGGGGCGGGATCGTGGATGCGCACTGCTGAGGAGTCCCATACTAGGACGAAGCGGCCGTCCAGTGCTTCCAGGTTTTCCATGGTGGTCTAGCTTCAATTGATTCATGATTTCAACTATTGAGATCTTTGTATTTGTTAAAATCTCACATCTGGCTTAGTCACCAGGTTATGGGTTCCGCTTTGAGTTATACTTTGTACTAAGGCTAATGATACAGCTCAGTTGCCTAAACTAAAAGCTTAGTTGACTTCGGACTAGCAACCTAGTGGTTGAAAGCGAACTGGTTTTGACAAAAAACGAAATATTCACCTAACCATCTTAAAATCGAAACTCCCAGAGGTCTTTGAGAACCAACGTCACTCTCCTACTTCGGATGACGATGAATAGTCAACAACTGAATGGTAAGTTAAAAACAGTCGATTGTTCCTAAGTGTTCAATCTATCATCCAATTTGTCTAGTCGGAAAGTGGGTAACAAACTTAAAAATATGCTTGTTTTCTGGAAGCATAGGAGCCTTCAAGCAAAGTTGTTGCTTATATTTAGTACCTTCTACCATTCTGGTTCACATAAAGGAGTATGGGGTTATAGAAGGCGGATAGGGAGTTAGTAGTAAGTGTTTAGGTAGCAGGCTTATTAGTTTAATTATTTGTCAAACATCAAAAACAGTTCACCTCCATAAGTCAAAAACACCGAACACTATTAGCTTTGGAAGTTACCTTCCACAAAAGTTTGCCTTTTTCGACCACTACTGATAACAATGAGTGGATCAACTTTATGTTAATTTATAACTAATTCGTTGGCCTTGAATTTTTCAAATATTTTTATTAACGCAGTATTAACATTCGCTGCACTGGAACGTTAATTTAGTGATTGCATAAATTATCAGTAAAATAAAAAGAAGTTAAAACTACATTTTATAACAGTAAGCTATCAATTAAGCTGATTAACTTACACCCCAACACAAATTATTGCAAATGGTTATTGGTTTTGAATAAAGAATTAAAACTGATAATAAATTAGTGGCATAAATGCTTCTGTTAGAGTTAACCAATGAAAATATCAACACACTGGATTCGCATTGGATTCAAAGTATTTATTTCAGTCTAAGCAGATAAGCAGTACAATAAAGCGTATATACAGAATGAGAGTTACAGTTTATTACACGGATATATCCTAAGCAGCATGTTAACTTTAAAACAATAACTCTCTCAATAAGCATCACAAACGTAATTCCCATTTATCTAATAGTAGTATAATACAAATTAATCCAGAGTATTTTCAATCAAAGTAATCAATTATTATCTTCATTTTGAGATACAGAATTTTATATTATTGATAAATCTTGACCTTAAATTATCATATACTGACTATTATGCAACAGGGTGAGGTAAAGGGAAGAAATAATATATATGACATGAATAGGCAACTAGAAACAATGATTAAATACAACTGTCAACTTATCATTTATAAATAGTATGAAATAATGATATCAGTGTTGATCACTCAACTTACTCATTGTAATTATCATCTGCTAGATTAGACCAAAGTACCTTTTTACTAATACAGATGTTCTTACGGTATGATTTAATTGGATTCTGTGACTTCGTTGCATCGACAGGCTTTTATACAGATGTGAATATTTGGATAGTAATAATAATAACCCATGTATGTGTATATCGCCGTACCGTACCGTCCCGCGTCCACACACATCACAACAAACATATGGAAATCAAGGAAAAAGAAATAATAGTTGATTTTTTTAAATCAGAATGAATTCAGACAGATTTCTAAAATATTGAAATTACCAACTGTCAAAATATAACCCCCAAAAAGGAATTTTTCTCTCTATTTACCAGTGGTTATTACCTAACGGAATTAAAATTTAAAAAAACAACTAATCTTCGTCAGAGATAAAAGTAACAAGTTTATCGGCCAAAAAGAAACAAATATCACGTTTGATATGAAAAATCTATCAGAGCTAAGTATTAAAAATGATAAATTAGTAGTGGCATGAGATCAATTTCAACTTCCCGGTATAGTTAATGGAACAAATGAATAAGTAATAAAAAGTCATGAGTAGGGTGATAGAAAAAAGGTAAACTTTTTACTGAGGCTCCTAGTATAAATACTTTCTATTAGCTTAAATCAACAAGCATGACAGAACACATGTTAAACAAATATCTTACTTGTAATATAATGTTGGAACAAACCAACACAGAATGAATAAAGCCTACAGATATTCATAAGTAAATTTCTTAACAAATTGTTAATCTGAAAATTGTACAAGGATATCCAGGATTATTGTTAAAGAAGTGTACGATTACCAGTGTCAATCAATAGATAGGATCGCTCGAAATTTTAACATCTTAATTACACAGTTAATCAGGTTTTTTCTAGCTGCATAACCTTTGCTTTCGTTCATTCATCCAAAAATTAATTATTAATGACTTTATAGAATGATCCCATGTTTCACGAAATATGAAAGTTTTCTTACTTGGTTTATGAACATAAAATGTTGATATCAAACTTAGATATTGAAATATTGTTTAAATCAGTTTATTACAGACTCGAGCAAAGATCAGAAGATAGGTGTTCTACATAATAATAGCAAAAAGCCCCTTATTCAACACAATATGTTTGATACAGCAGAGAATTGCTAGTATGAAATATAATAAGAGGATCACAGGAATATTGCAGGTATGTATCTTTACAACGGTGATTAATAACCATATCTCATCAACTGTAAAGGTTTTTGTTTACTTCTAACCTCAAAACATCTTCATATAATATGTGTGTTATGCGAGGTATCTTATAGCTTTTGTATTTTATTTCATGAGTATATACTTTAATATAATTGTGTATTATTTTACCAGAAGATAGACAAAGTGGAATTTATGAGTAAAGAATATGTAAGTCATAACTTATTGTTTCAAGAAATAGTTAATATTTATTAGAATCGTGTTCTACGAGATAAATAGCTTAAGTGTGGTGACGAGACCACTTAGATTAGTAGCCATATTAAAAATTGATCGATGGAATTTGATTAGTATTGACAATTGCCAACTGATCAATTATTAATAGATATTCAATTCAACCAGTTCTTTCTTAAAGGAAACAAAAATACTATTGACATCCATCTGAATGATTTTCATTTGCAAATACATGCACAGTGGAAATTAACAAAATGAGATGAAGAAATAATAGTGTTCAAATCATTGGAAACTAGAACATAAAGAATATGTCTAAAAATGGAAAAAAAAGAAAACCGAAGAGTGAAAAGTATACAAAGAATAATCAACTGCTTATTTAGAAGTAGAAATATATAAAGCGTAAAAGGATAAATTCATCAAATGACCATATTATCCCTTTCAAAAAATTAACCATAATCCACAGTATAGAATATGCATAACTGAAATTGAATTAATGCATCTTAACTAACCATCTAACAATAATAAACTTACAGTTAATGAATGTATGATATTAGGTAAATGGAGTGATTCTTTTTTAAATGCATAATCCAACTTCTTAAATGATACCTGAGTTAAAATGAAATGTGAGAAAAACAGTTGAATAAAGTGGTCGACGTAAACAAATATTAATTACAATAGTTGAAATCATGAGTCAATTGAAGCTAGAACACCATGGAAAACCTAATATGGGACTCCTCAGAAGCGCGCATCCACGACCTCACCCCCCGCGAGATTCGAACCCAGGACCTATCAGTCTCGCGCGCGAGCGCTTAACCATAAGACCACTGAGCCGGCATCCAACGGTGTTAATGTCTAGCTTCAACCAATCCACGAAATCGCACTATCGTCCACCATTGCCTTCAGTGAGCTAGTATCTCACAACAGACCTGGTTGAACTCCACTGGTCACGGCTTCTCAGTAGAACTTCAGGAAGTGCCTCGTGACGTCAGTCACTAATGAGCAGATGATTATTATCAGAAGGGGTTTTGTGGAGATTTTAGTAATTTCAATAGTTGAAATCATGAGTTGATGTGCACTGCCCCATAGTAGGACGAAACGGCCGTCCAGTGCTTCGAGGTTTTTCATGATGGTCTAGCTTCAATTGACTCATGATTTCAACTATTGAAATGACTAAAATCTCCACAAAACCCCTTCTGATAAATACTAATTAACTTATAGAACTAAATCACTGAACTGAATGATTCGTAATTTCAATGTTATAACTTGTTTGAGCGGAGTTCTGAACAGATAATGAATGAATTTATTTAAAAATTTCTAAACATAATTTATCAGTTAAGGTAATATTGTGAAAACTTGGATCGCCTATTACTATAATTATATATTAAAATTATGAATAACGCAGATTTGAATTTTAGTAAAACAGTTTGTCAAACATATTTCAAGAATGTGAGTAGTATAGATATGGTTTTCTTGACGAATTGATATCAGCTGGAGTATCACTGAAAACCAGGAAACCAAAGATAGTTGTCGTATTGTCTATAATAAGCACTTAGCAAAATACACAAAATCAAACTACCTAATACTTTCATAAGAAACCTTCAAAACATTAAACTGTAATCGAATTGTCCACAATCACAGATTCAGTTTATTAACAATCCATACCCAATGTCATCGATTACTTGTTACTAGTAACTATCAGTGATTTACAGTCTGAATTGCCACATCTAACGTTAGCTCAGTGAGAGAAAATCAATAAAATGAGAACAGTATTAAAAATAGTGTTAAAAGCAGTGGAGGAGAACCAATCACGTATAAGGTAACAGGTCTCGGATTCTAGCGCGAAACTCACCCATCCATTTGGCTAAGTAAAGTTTTGGCATTATAGCTGATGTCAGATCGTGATGAAAACCCGAAATCTAATTCCTAACCCTAACCATCAACTGTAAATCATAATTCTAATTCCTCACACTGGTTTATAACCCTTATTTGGCCCTAGTTATTAGATGAACCCTCCCGAGGTCACTTTAGCGTCGCACAAAGGCGTCCATAAATTATGGTCCCACCATAGTAGAAATTGAAACATAAGAAATACTAGTCCGAAAGAAACAAATCTGATTGAAAAATAAAAATTTAGAAATGATACTTAGTATTTAGAGGCGGATGGAAATGAATACAAGTGATCATGTCAACCAATATCTTCAACTACTTATTAAAAGTATTGCGAAGACAACTTAAATCGAGATGTTCGCGCTTTCCGACATAAATTATTATTTTAATATCTATTAGATAAAAAATATCACATAAGACTTATTAATTTATCTACCAATATAAACTTTGACTAAAAATAAAAGTAACGTATCTACTAAGAAAAGACAACATAACATAATGAAAATACTTTGAAAAAAGGAATAGCAATTAGAAACAATCAAAAAAAATGATCATATTTGTCTGTACTGATGTTAACTTATATTCCAATAATTTAAAACTTTTCCGACTCGAATTGAATTTAGATATTTACTGCAGTAAAAGAAAAGCCAATTATGATAGCAAAACCTGTTATTATTTAAATGATCATATACAACGTAGAAACTGGAGCATATGTCCATTAATTGAAGTTGTTACCCCACACTAATACAGTGAGTTAAAAATATCAAAACAAATCCCGGAGTAGTAGAAATAGTAATAGTTTCAGTGGTAGTATAAAAGATAAGTTTTAGATGTGATCCGAGAAAATATAGATTTCTGTGATAAAAAAAATCACAAAATAATTTAGAAAATAAGAGAAGACAAAAATGAAAGCATATATGCCATTGTTGTCAATTCTCAGCCATGTCACCTAACGTTTCTAACCTTCGGTTACAAAAATCGTGCAGACCTCAACCAGGTGGTCTACACTTATCAACAGTCAGTAACTCCATATACTAGTAATACGTTTGGGCTTGGTTGCCTCTAGCTTTATTATAACCTATTAACACTCCAGAAAACATCATACGCCTATGTAGGCAATGGATGGTCGCACGCAATTCATGTTTCAAATAACTCAACCCACAAGTAACAACTACTTCACTAATCGGTTTTCCATCGCTACCTAGTACCCTGCACCTAGACTCAGAATGGCTGGCAGGATGACTCCAACAAATACGAGGTTCGATTCTGCAGAGGTTCGATTCCAGCAACTTCACTGATCCACAGGTTGGTTTTAAGGTTGTTTATATAATTCGTCCAAATCTACCTAGATTTCTTCAAATCCACCTCTTTAAAACATCGGAAGCTCCTGCCAACCTTGAGATGAATCCAGAACTAATACTATGACAAGTTTATATATATATATATATATATATATATATATATATATATATATATATATATATATGCAGACGATTGTACAGCATGAGAACAAATTCGTTGAAAAGAGATCCTTTCTCTGAACTTCATGCTTCCAATGATGAAAATGACGAAAACGACACCTCTGAATAACTAACGGTTAAGCACATTATTGAATACTTGATTGCATAAATTTATGGAGGGCAATGAAAAATGGCAACAAACCTCAAGTGACTTTTGTTCACTTCGTAAAGCACGTGCAGCAGCTTTAACTTCATCTGAATCCTTTTCAAAAAGAAAATATATAGAAATGAGGAAGATATTTATCTTCACAAGTGTTAAATGGAAGAAATACTGTCAGTGACTAAATTTTTAACTTACATAGAAACTATTCTGATAGTTCTAGATCTATGGGGAGAAAAATATTAAAACTTAAATGTTACCATCACAAGGCTACTTACATTCTTTATATGGTATGATTAATGTAACTAAAATTCTAAAAAAAAAGAATAACGCTAAGATTTTCTTCAGTACATTGTATTTAATCCACTCGAATTCTGGTATGATGACATTAACAATTCAACCCAACCAACCCAGTACCACAGTATTTAAAAATACAAATTCATACAGCCAAATGCATACCCTCCTCGCAGTAATTCAGATGACACCTAGAAATTTATTAACTTCTGAAAATAAACCATGTTTATTTATTTGTTTAAACACATAAACATTGGCTGTTAGGAGGAATAATAGGAATTGAAGAGGGAGGTTGACTATGAATACAGTGGTCTTGAGTGCTGTTAGAGGTATGAGGGCGGTTATCACTTCCCGGTTGCCCACACCGTGGAAGGGTTCTTCTGGAGGTACCTGAAAAGGAAATTGGATTAGAGTTGGTCATAGTGACCTGAGAGCGTGACCGCAGTGCCCAAGGGACAGCTGCTTGAGGTCGGTCACACACGACCTTTTTATGAGTGATTTTTGTGTTAGCTCCGTACTTGTTGAGTCCTTACCGCCGGAGACGGATATCCGTGGGATAAGGCGAGGTGTGCATTTTTAGGGTCGACCTTTTCTAACCCCACCCCTCCTTGTGGGAAGGCAGCATCGCTGTCATGCTGGTTGTCTGAAGGAAACACCTTACTGCTGTCACACCTCTGTACAGTCAGCCTTGTGAAGGCTCTTTACTCGAACACTACTAGTCGGGTCAGAGCCTATGGCGAACTGTCATCTGCTTTTGCAACCTCAAGTGGCGTCCGTCGAGGCTGTCCACTTTCTCCTTTTTTGTTTAACTTCATCATAGATCTACTGATGGAAATAACGCTCTCATCGACTGACTTCTCGGGTATTGATCTCCTACCAGGAGGTCCACTTATTGACTTAGAATACGCAGATGACATAGTCCTGTTTGGTGAAGACGCTGATGAAATTCAGAGTCTTTTGGTAGCACTGAGCAACAATGCTAGAATGTTTGGGATGCGCTTTTCTCCCTCTAAATGCAAGTTGTTGCTTCAGGACTGGTCTGCATCAACACCTGAACTAAGGATAGGGGGTGAAGTAGTCGAACGCATTGACAACTTCACTTATCTTGGAAGTCTGATCAGCCCTAATGGGTTGGTGTCTGACGAAATCTCAGCACGGATTCGAAAAGCTCGTTTGGCCTTTGCCAACTTACGTCATCTATGGCGAAGGCGAGATATCCGTCTATCAATTAAGGGACGAGTATACTGCGCGGCAGTTCGTTCCGTCCTTCTATACGGCTGCGAAACATGGCCTTTAAGAGTGGAAGATATTCGTAAGTTACTGGTATTTGATCACAGGTGCCTTAGAAACATTGCGGGTATCTGCTGGGATCACCGGGTAAGTAATAGTGAGGTTAGACGCACGGTATTAGGGAATGATGGTAAATCAGTTGATGAGGTTATGAATCTTCATCGACTGAGATGGTTGGGCCACGTGTTGCGTATGCCTGAACACCGATTACCACGACGCGCAATGCTGACTAGTGCAGGGGATAATTGGAAGAAAGTTAGGGGCGGCCAAACCAAAACGTGGCATCAGTGCTTGAAGTCACTAACTTCTGGTCTGAGCCATGTTGGGAGATTCAGACTGCCTGGTTGGGGTCCGCGTGACTATCGTAACCAACGGTTGGAGACTCTTGGTGACATGGCTCAGAATCGATCACAATGGCGTCGGTGTATACACTCTCTGTCTTCCTTTAAATTAAGAGATTAAAATCGCTTCATATCTGTCTAGGAACTAATTCTTTCTTCCTTTACTATCTCCTTATACACAATCTTTCTTCTATATATTACCACCACTGAATTAACTACTTCTATGAATCCGGTGTTCATCTTGTTGTGCTAATGCGGTATGGCAACTTGGACCGATGCATATACGTGCCTGGTCCTACGTTGCAGCTGACTGACTGACTGATAAACATTGGCACAGGAAGGCAACAAATACATATGCGCCACGCTTCGTCATTCGACCTTTATGAGAGTTGGAATACTGATTGGGTACCCAAACTGAGGTAGGTAGTTTTTTCGAGGGGTCCACACCCAAGCCTCTGACCTAAAGATGTAATCCACAATGCAGTGGAACAACGTTAGGAGATGTAGTCTAACGATAGGCGGTGACCAATAATAGGTTCATACACCATTTTTCCACCAGGATCCTGGAGCCTATGTGCACCATTGATTTAGAATCAGGGTCTCCAACTCCCTCCATGTCCACAAACCTTGGTTAAAGCACCGGATATTCGCTCTTCATCCTCCAGAATTTTATAAACAAGACCCCCTCCGCGAGAAGGCAGTGAGTAGGACTTCCCTGGCTGTATGTACGTGGCCATGTAAGAACATTTCGATAGGGAGAGCGAACTCTTCACACTCTCGGTCGTACCAGGGCATTTGGGGGCCATGATAAAAAGATAAACGTACAGGCCAAAATCTCGTGCACAGTTTGGAAATTTTAAAATGGTAGACGAGAAAACTTTACATGGTTAATTCTGCTTGACACTCAAAGAAAATGTAACAATACCCAAAAGTATCACAGTTAATCCTCATACAACAAAATGAAAACGTGTGCTTTGTATATTGATATGAAAAAGAATTGTAATAACTGCATATTGTGAAACCTTTTAGACTAACACAATTACCACATGCATATAATTATTTTTCTCAGAACTTTTACAACAATGCACCATTCCATATTTCCCCATAGAATGAAAATTAATTGTCTAGTTCATTATACTTAGAATTTTGTAACCATGTGAAAACGGGTACAGATATATAAATGAATTTCAAGTCGAATAGACTATTTCTTGTCTACCTTGTACCAATAAACATACCCACATCATTTCATCGGATAAGAAGGGCATGAAGTTTCGAGAATTTAAACAAGTTATAATTATAAATAAAATTTGTGAAAGTCAATTATATAACCTTCGAATATCGAGTTTGAACTGTGGCTCATCTACCTCGATTTTTTGGCAGTTGAGTGATAAAATAAGAAGATATTGGCGATTTAAGACTCAAGAGGATGTTTTGGGGATTGTTCTATTCTCCAAGATAGATAGTTTCATTATGAAGCCGTGATTGTAGTTCTATATACTATCATCAGCGCCTGTCTCATGTGTAAAAGTGGACTTTTCAGGTTTTCCATAAATGTCAAATTAGAAGATAAATGAGATATCATCTATAAAATATATTGCACCAAATGCGAGAAATATAACGTTGAACAAAGTGGATGTTCTAATTACTTACACAGATTAACAGTTAAGCGAAATGGTATATGATTATTGATATCAATACAGATAGATATTCATGAATATGAATTTTAGAGATATAACATTCATATCGATTGGCAGATATATAGACATAGATTCAATATATGAGCCCGTGCGGAAGAGGTTAATCAAGTAAATGCCCAGAGGTCAACCGAAAACGACAGTAAATAGGAATGTCAAAATAAATGGAGGCAATAAAATTTACAAAGACAGCCATTCACGAACAAAATCATAAAAACGAACTAAATTAACACTTGTAGAATAACGGGAAAGCTCACTTCAATATGCATCTATATTTGATTATTGGGTACCATACATTTACTAATGTCCCTCCATTCAACGGAGAGAAATATATGTATCATTAGTGAGTTTATCAAGGAAATATTCTTAAGAAATCAAATACAATTTCTTGTATTCCAGTTCCGACTACAAACTATGAAACAATAAGTATTAATTTAAGGGCATACTACAGTCTTCCACTAACACTGATTGTATTATTTCTAGTCTTTTTCTAAACAATATACTTAATTTATCAACGATAGTACATATATTTTATTGAATTATTTCTGAGAAAAACGGGAAGTTAATGGAAGTTGTAAAAAAAGGAAGAATTGCATATACCTGTTTATTTTGTTCATATTGATTGTGAAGTGAAATTCTATCTTGTTTTAAGGTATTTATTTGTTCATGAATACCATCCATTTGCTTTTTTAAATCTATCTATTAAAAATTGGAATACAGTTGTTTGTTTTAATCAACAAAAACAAAATATTTTTTTAACATTGAATAAGATTTACAAATTTAAATATTTAGACAACTTGTATATGGTAACAACTGTATACAGACACACACACACAAAATATATTGTGGCGACAATAATAAACTATGATAAGTGCAATCTTAAATTATTTTTTTTTATAAATATATCAATGGATTTTTGGGAATTAAGTACAGTTTGAAAGACAATAATAATTTTTATTATGAATTGGTTTATTATTGAAAGTTTATTAAAATAAAAACTAAGAAATAAATAAATCTTGATTGAACGACTTAATGATATCGTATTGTTACAAGAACTGAAAGTTTTAAATTTGATTTTACGTGAAGGTTTTGCTTTATTGCGTAACTGTGAACATGGACTATGAAAATAAATCACATGTGTAAGCTAAAAGTTCATAATTATAGGTCCTTTCACAGTAACGCTCGCCTATGTTGGAAGCAACTAGTGAACAATGTTGACGTTATGATTAGAGAACAAGAAAAAATACCAAGTCTATATACAAAGCTACAAACATTCGTCAACAAATATAGCTAGGAAATGTGATACGAATACCTAAATACTACTTACCCTAGAATGCAATATTGGTTGACATAGGAAAAGATACCTAAACTAAAACGTGGCATGAGTTCATGAAGTCATTTACGGTTGGTATGGCTCAAGTTGGGAAATGCAAATTATATGGATAATAAATGTGAGATAAACGAAAGAATTGGTTCGATACGTGGCTTGATATGGCTCAAAATAGGTCAGAGGCTCAGATACATTCACTTTTCACCTTCCTTTAGATCATTCGTTTTCATCTTTTCCGAACGCAAACTCTTCATTTTGAACGATATTCTCACAGGATAATCATACGGTTCATCACTCATACTACTCTTATTGAAATTCATTAGTTATTAATAATTCCTATTGTTCGGGAGAACCAGAAAACTCCTCGAAAAAAGCTAACACAGGCTTTAAAAACACTGAGAAGCATCTTATCCATCCAGCGTGCACTAGAACCTTTGGCAGTTGTCGAATCAAATCCCGTAGTGGTAGAGGTAGTGAAAGCATAAGTAGTGATAGGGAGCATTAGGGTTTGATGATGTTATTTAAGGAGTATAATCCAGTAGAATAAATTTGGAAAGAGAGTAAAGGACATGAAGAATTCAGAAGATTAGAGTTTGGGAGAACACAAAGAGTGGACGCACCTGCACCATTGCAAACGATTTTGAGCCATGTCATTCAGAGTCTCTAATCACCGGTTGCTATCATTTCGCGGTCCCCAACTAGGTAGTCTACACCCACCAACATGGCTCAGTCCATTTGTCTGTGACTTCATCGATTTGTGCCATGTCTTCGTCTGGCCGCCCCTAAATTTCTTACAACTTACTCCTACACCATAAAACATTGCACGTCGGGGCAGTCGGTGGTCAGGCATGCGTAACACATGTTCCATCAATCTCAACTGATAGAATTCTAATACTTTATCAATTGATTTGCCATAATCACCTAGTACCCGTTTCCTAACAACTGAGTTACTTACTCGGTGGTCCCAAGATATACGAGCAATGTTTCGAAGACATCTATGGTCAAATACTAGTAACCTACGAATATCCTCTACTCTTACCGACCATGTTTTACTGCCATAAAGTAGGATGGAACGAACTGTTGCGCAGTAAACACCTCCTTTGGTTGATAGACGGATATCTCACCTACGTCACAAATGACGCAAGTTGGCAAAAGCTAGTCGAGCCTTCTGTATCCGTGCTGAAATTTCGTCACACACCAGGCCACAAGGGCTGATGAGACTTCCCAGATAAGCGAAGCGGTCGACACGCTCAACTACTTCACTCCCTATCACTAGTTTGGGTGTCGACGCAACCCGATCGTGAAGCAACATTTTGCATTTCGAGGGAGAGAATCGCATGCCAAACATGCCAGCATTGTTGTTGAGAGTGGTTAGCAGACCCTGCATTTTGTCAGCGTCTTCACCAAACGGAACTATGTCATCGGCATATTGTATGTCAGGAAGTGAATCTCCCGGTAGAAGTTCAAGTCCTGGAAAGTCAGATGTGGAAAGTGTATCTCTAAAACACGTCAACGACAAAGTTAAACAAGAATGGAGAGAGTGAACAGTCCTGACGAACACCACTTGAGGTAATAAATTCTGATGACAGTTCGTCATAGAACCTCACGATCAACAGAGTCAAATGCCGCCTTAAGGTCGAGAAATACTACCATTGTGGGGCGTCTGAATATGCGTCTAAGTTTTAGAACCTGACGAAGTAACTTTATTCTTCCAAAGAACCCACGGGACTTCAGTTTAGATGAAGCTGTTCTAGCACGTAGGATTACCGTAATGACAGTGTCAAACTATCATCCTCATGCTGGTTATGTGGCGGTTGAGATTTTAGACGGTTTTGTCCATTTAAAAATCATCGTCGTACTACGTGTTCCAGAAAAGAGCACAAGGAAAATCATTGCGAAACCCGGAAACGCCGTCAACCGAATCTTATAGAATAAAGATTCAAGCCACGTACAGCCAAATTAACGGTAGCTCTTCATAAAACCGACTCCCATAACCGTAGAAAGTATGTTTCTCTCAAGATTAATCGGTACGATGCCCGCTTACATTTAGACACAGCTTCCGATATAACACTTATAAGCAGAAGAACGTGGGAGAAAATTGGGAGACCGCGAGTATATTTAACTCATCAATCAGCACATAGTGCATCCGGAAGAGTGCTAAACATTGCTGGTGAGATTCATTGTGAAGTCACAGTCAAAGAGTTGACGGAGAAGGGAGTAATATTTTTGACAGAACGTCCATCATTCAACTTATTAAGGCTTGATTGGATAGAAAGGTTGAAGTTAACAAACCATCCCATAAACATGATCTGTAACAAAGTCAGTACGTCGAAAGTTGAGGAGAAAAACTCGGTGGAAGCATTATTAAAACGACATAAAATGGTATTTAGTGAGGGTCTTGGAGAATGTACTAAATTTAAAGCTGCTCTTACCCTTCGGCAGGGATCAAAGCCAGTGTTTCGACCTACGAGACCTGTACCATATGCTGCCTTCCCAGTGGTTGGACAAAAGCTAGAACGACTTCATAAATTGGGTGTCATTGAACCAGCGAATTTCTCAGAATGGGCTGCACGATAGTGGTAGTAAAAAAAACTAATGGTAGCGTCCGTTTATGTTCTGATTACTCAACCGGGTTAAATGAAGCCCTAGAAACTCATCAGTATCCATTACCCCTACCCGAAGATCTTTTTGCTAAACTGAATGGAGGTAAGCTCTTTGAAAAGTTGGATTTATCGGAAGCTTATTTACAAATTCCTGTTGCTGATGAGTGTAAAGATCTGCTCACCATAAACACACACAAGGGCCTATTCCGGTATAATCGACTGCCATTCGGATTTAAGACGTCCCATCCATGTTTCAGCAAGTAATGGATACTATGCTACAGGATATTCCAGGTGCTGCAGCTTATCTGGATGATATAATTATGGGAGTAGATAGAATAGACTTAGAAAATAAGCTCGACCAGGTGCTGTCATGAATAGTCGAATATGGACTTCGGCTCCATCCAGAGAAATGTAACTTTTGTATGTGAAAGGTACGCTACTTCGGATTTATAATCGACAAGGATGGCAGAAGACCGGATCCAGAGAATACCCATCCAGTGAAAACTATGCAAAGATGGACGGACGTCCCCACACTACGATCCTTTTTGGGACTAGTTAGTCATTATTGAGCTTTTATTCATAACATTCACCAACCACGTGCTCCCTTAAATAACCTTCTGGTGAAGAATGTAAAATGGGATTGATTTGCAAATTGCCAAGCTGCTTTCGACGAAACCAAGAAAATACTAGTCTCGGATCTGTTGTTGCTCACCCATTACGATCCATCTTTACCCATTGTAGTAGCATCAGACGCTTCAAACTATGGCATTGGAGCAATTATTTCTCACATCATGCCGGATGGATCTGAGAAAGCCATATCACATGCGGCTAGATCGTTAACTACAGCAGAACGTAACTACAGTCAGATCGAGAAGGAAGCATTGTCGATTATCTTCCCTGTAAAGAAGTTTCACAGGATGATATTTGGACTCCAGTTCACTCTATTAACTGACCATAAACCATTGCTAGCTATTTTTGGGTCGAAGAAAGGGATTCCAGTATATACAGCAAACAGACTGCAACGGTGAGGAACTACACTCTTGGGTTATGACTTCAAGATTAAGTACCAGCCCACTACTGATTTTGGACAAGCTGACGCTTTGTCTAAACTGATTGGTTCGCAAGCGAAATGGGAAGAAGATACTTTGGTGGCAGCAATTGAGATGGAAACAGAAGTACACCGAGTATTGGAAGACGCGGTCGATGGCTTACCAGTTGCTTTCAAAATTATCAAAGAAGCCACGGAAAATGACAGGTTATTAAGAGAAGTTAGTGGTCACCTTTTCACCAAGTGGCGGAACCGTCGTTTTCAAGGAGAAATGCCACAGTATTTTCGCCGGCAGGACTCACTCATGATGGTCGACTTCTGTATTATGTTTGGTGACAGAATTGTTGCTCCAAAAACATTACGCCACAAGGTCCTGAGACAATTCCACAGCGGGTCATCCCGGCATCAATAAGATGAAAGCGTTGGCTCGAAGCTATGCTTACTGGCCCACAATGGATCAAGATATCGAAACCAGATGCCAACATTGTTCGTCGTGCCTGTAAGCAGCTAAAAGTCCAAAGAAGTGTGAACCACAATAATGGGAAAAACCTAATAGTTCCTGGGAGAGGATGCACGCAGATTTTGCCAGCCCAATACGAGGAAGAATGTTCCTAGTCATAGTGGATGCACACACACACACAGAATGGCCACAAATCTATACCATGGCAAATTGCACAGCCAGTGAAACAATCTGCAAGTCATTTGAACTGTTTAGCTG